CCTGGGTATATACCCAAAGGATTATCAATTCATGTGCGTATAAAGCATAATGCACGGTTATGTTATTGCAGCACTAATTTCACAGTAGCAAAGACTTGGAATCAACCCAAATGTCCATCCAGTGACAGACTGATTAAGAAAACTGTGGCACTATATAACCATGGAGATACTATGCAGCCATAAAAAAGGATGAGTTCGTGCTCCTTTGTCAGGGACTGAATGCAGCTGGAAACCGATCATGTCTCAGGCAAACTATCGCGAAGAACAGAAAACAAACACCGCATGTTCTCACTTCATAGGGGAATGAAAAATGAGATTCCCTTGAACATGGGGAAGGGGAACCATCACACGCCGGGACCCTATTAGGGAGAGGGGATGAGGAGGGATTTGGCATTTGGGAGTTTTACCTGAGTAAAAATGACGAGTGATGGGTAGCTGACCGAGAGTTGATGGGTGCAGCACACCAACATGGCACATGTATACATATGTGACAAACCTGCACGTTGTGCACATGTACCCTAGAACTTAAAGTATAATAAAAAGAAAACGTGGCACATATACACCATGGAATACTATGCAGCCATAAAAAAGGATGAGTTCATGTCCTTTGCAGGGACATGGATGCAGCTGGAAACCATCATTCACAGAAACTATCACAAGGACAGAAAACCAAACACCACATGTTTTCACTCATAAGTAGGAACTGAACAATGAGAGAGCACTTGGACATACGGTGGGGAGCATCGCATACCGGGGGGCCTGCCAGGGGGTGGGGGTTGGGGGAGGGATAGCATTGGGAGAAATGCCTAATGTGGATGACGAGTTGATGGGTGCAGCAAACCAACATGGCACATGTATATCTATATAACAAATCTGTACATTGTGCACATGTACCCTAGAACTTAAAGTATAATAAAAGAAAAAATAAAAGATAAAAAAAGAAAAAGAAAATAGTAACATTTCTAAATTTGAATGTTTATAATGCATAACTTTAAATATGAACGTGTAACTACATCAATACATTACTTAATGGTAGGCATTTAATGAGTCCACTTATACCACTAGAGACTTTTATATCTAAATGGGTTATGTAATTTAAAAGAAACCCTGCTTCCTGGGAAAATGGGCTTACCATATAATCAGGGTTCATTTCTGTGAATTGGCACGTATGAGGCCCACTTAAGAACAGCGGGCCGGGCACGGTGGCTCACACCTGTAATCCCAGCATTTTGGGAGGCTGCGGTGGGCAGATCACCTGAGGCCAGGAGTTCGAGATCAGCCTGGCCCACGTGGAGAACCCCTGTCTCTACTAAAAATATAAAAATTAGCTGGGCATAGTGGTGAGCGCCTGTAATCCCAGCTATATGGGAGGCTGAGACAGGAGAATCACTTCAACCCAGGATGCAGAGGTTGCAGTGAGCCGAGATCACGGCACTGCACTCCAGCTTGGATGACAGAGCAAGACTCTGTTTCAAAAAAAGAAAAAAAAAAAAAAAAAGGATATACCTGCTGACTGCTGACCTGCAGGCAACACCAATATCCCTTTTCTCTTCAGATCTTTCCTTGGACCATTGACCACAGTGCCGCCTCTACTGCAAAACATGTACCCAGGAGGGAAAGCCAGGCATCTTCCTATTTCTTCCTGGAGAGGGGAGCACGAGGTGGGGGGCTGCTGGATTTCTGGGGAGGAAACTGCACAGATGGATGGAGGAGCCCACCTCACTCCCCTGCATCTCTTGAGGAGGTGCCCTACCAGCTGGGGAGTCAGCCCCACAGAATCACTGCTGTTAAGGGGCTCAGTCCTACAGGAGTGCCAGGAAGGGCTTGCGTTTCCTCTGTGAGTATTGCTACAATGTATGTGAAAATCACAGAAGGGCAAGGGCTTCACCCTGTGGGTCTATTAAAACCAAGTGCAGCATTGGCAAGGTTTCTGCCTGAAATGATCAATGACCGTCATGAAACTCAGGCATTTAGGGTGACCTTGCAGACAGATGTCCCCTCTGAAAGGTCTTAGTGTTGTGCAGCCTGCTCTGGGGCTGAGGGGAAAAGGCTGGCATGTGGCACGTCTCCAGCATATGCAGGTGGTGTGCCTGCTCTTCCCAAGGGATCCCTCATAGGCCTCCACGGCAGCGTGGAACATTCCACAACAATCCTCACGGCTGATGCCGGCCACTGAGGTTGGCAGGGGTGCATGTCTTGCTCAAAGTTGCAGAGGTAGGAGTGGCAAGTGGTCCAGCAACCCCCATCTCATGGACTGAATTCCATCGTCCTATGTGAATAAGAGGTTGTACTGAATGGAGCTTTAATTGGAAGCGGGAATCAAAGAACCAGGTCACTGCCCATCTCCACCATTTACTCATTATCTTTCCTAGCCTGGGTCACTGGCTTTTAATTTTCCAGTCTATAAATAGAACTGCTCCATGAGATCATGGAAGGGTATCTCCAAAGTCCTTCAACAGGGACAGGTGTCTGTTCTCACTGTTCACTAGTGTCGCCATGAGGCAGGGCCAGGTCAGGGCCAGGCGTGAAGTGGTTTTGAGGGCAGGTGGTCCCAAGGGCTCTGCCCCTTGTAGGCATTTTACTCTCATAAGAATTAGGGTTTGCTTAATTCTAGCTAGAGTCCTAGTGGGTGCTGTTCACACAGCTGTGGGCTATGGGTGGCTCTGGCTCACCTGGAAGAATTTTTGAGAACTTTGGGGTGTTTGCTTAACTGCCTGGAGCTGTGTCTGGGCCAGCCCCCTAGAGGATGCTTCCATGTGTTAGGTGAGAAGACAAGTTACAAAGTGGCATGTACAGAAGCCACCCGGTTTTTAATACAGATGTGTGTGTACCTATGTAACAGTTTGGAAGACAAACCATTATAAAAATTTATCATGTCAGCAAATGGTTTCTGGGACTAATTTTCCTTTTAGTGTGTTCTATAGTAGGAGCTGCTTTTATAATTAAAAATAAAACTGGAGAATTCTGCCAATGACTCTTTGGTGTAACCTGCTGGTGGCCCACCATCCTAACCAGCTGCATTTTCATTTGAGCTGAGGTGGTGCCAGGCCTGCCCTGGCCTAAAATCCACAGGTAATATACTCTCCTTAACCAGAGTTTTGATGGAGAGGCTGTGCGGTGTGGGGCACCAGGGGGAAGGGGGGCCTGTTGGCATGCTACATCCCCACTTACTAGCGGTGTGACGTCAGGCAAATGACTTAACCTCTCTGAGCCTCAGTTTATTTGCAGCATGAGGATAATAAACTCTTGTTTACAGAATTGTCTCCTGGAGTAGAGGCAGTATGGAACAGGAGCCTAGCGGGGGGTCTCAGAGTAGAGCTCAACAAATGCTGCTGTTGTTATTCTCAACAGCAAATGCACGGCCAAGAGCACAGACAGCTGGCCAGGGAGCTCCTGGAGCCCAGCAAGGCACACTGCGTCACCTGGCCCACTCCCTTAGCACTCCCTGGGCTGCCCTTAGGTCACCAGGCCCTCCACAGGCAGGTGCAGACAGCCCTGTCTGCCTGGCTCCCTGAGTTGATCTGGCAGCCAGACCTCGGGGAGCACAATTAGAGGCTGTTTTGGTCCTGAAGACAAACATGATTCCAGACAGGTCTGAAGGGGTTGCTGTAGAAGGACATCCTCGTAACCTGAGCTGGGCGGTGGTGGGAAGGATAACAGGCGCATGGGGTGAATTCCTTCTCTGTTGGCCTCCCCTGAGGCTTCAGCTTTAATTGAACAGTGAGGAGACTGCAGTGTCTCCTGATAGCATCAAACTTGCCCCAAGCATCGCTGTGAAGCCATTTTTTAGGCTTTAATAATCCAAGCAAACAGATCTATAAAAAACATATCTGGTCTTGTTTGAAGCTCTCACTGACAGTCCTTTTGTCAAGGGGCTCATCACATCCACATTTCATGTGGCTTCCCAAGACTCAGGTAACTGAGACAGAAATGGAGGCAGCAATAAATTTAACCGAAAAGCTCCTTGCCAGGAAACCTGAAGTGAGTGGAGCTCCCTCCCCAGCAGGTGCCCACAGCCGTGCATCTGAGCTGGCCACCCGGTGGAGAGGCAGCCTCCGCATCCGCCCACCACCCTTCCCAGGCAGGGAGGGGGTGTCATCAGAAAAACAGTAACAAAATTGTTGATGCGCAAAGGGCAAAAGGTTCACGGCAACAAAGGGAAGAGGTTCAATCTGGATTTACTCATGTGCTTTTTTGTGCAAATTATTTCATGAAGTTACTGTGAAAAAGAGATTTCCCTTTAGGTAGAGTTTCCAGCAAAAAGAGAAAAGATGTTAGGTTCCCCAGACCAATGTGATAGTGAGACACTGTGCAAGCGTTACTAGCTTCTTTAATAATAATAGAAACGGCAGTCGCCATCGCAGCAGGGCCCACCTCCTGCCTGTCTGCTGTGTACAGGGCACCGGGCTTATGTACGAGCTTGTTCATCCTCACACTGACAGCTGCTGTGGCCAGAGCTCAGAACACAGTAGGTGCTCAATAAGTGGTGTCTGCTAGGGATGCGGCACCACCTTTCGGAGAGGCAGAATGTGAGGTTTCAGAGTGTCCATGTGAGTCTTCCCAAGCCACACGGCTAGCCTGCCCCTGCCTCCCACCTGCCCGCACCACCCCGGACAGGGAGGAACCAGGTCTCCATCCCCCCTACCCTGATGACATCCTTCCCCACAGCGGGATTCTCTTCTCCTAGCTTCTCCCAGCTGTAAAATCACAACTGTAAATAACACCAGATCCCAACAGGATGTTTTGAGAATTAGCCAGAGGAGGCTGTAAAGCTCTCAGGAAGAGGAAAACACTCCAGGAATGTCAACTACACGCCTGGGCTGTGGTTCCTGCAGAGTGGCCCAGGCAGGGCTGCCCCCCACTGGCTCCCCCCACTGGCTTTGGGGTGAGCACAAGCCCAGGATGGGGTGAAATCATGCAAGGCTGAACTCTCAAAGCAATGAATGCACCCCCATCCCCACTGAGTGAGTCTCTGAGGGGCCAGCCTGCCTCAGGCTGGTTTTGGATAGCAAAGAAAGAGACAGACAGAATCCTGACAGTAACTGCATTTTCTGCTGAAAAGGTGCTTGGCTGGTGAAATGTCAAAAGCTCTTCAAAAGCATTTTGAACAGATTTCCCCCCGAGACTTGGCATGAGCAAGGAAAACCTCAGAAGCGGTTGAAACCTGAAATAGCAGTGTTAAACGACAGTGAAAATCCCCACTCCCTGTGCCATCGCTGAGAAACAGGAAATGCTTTCATAGATACACATCCCCTCCCACTCCCCCTGCGACGCCTGCTTTCTTCCTGGCAGTCTCAGCTTCAGGTGTCCCTCATTCCTCCGAATTCGCAGCCTGCTGACCTGCACATTGTGGCTGGGACCTTCTAGCCAGGGAACCAGGAGGCTGAGGTGACTCCCGATGGCCTGCAGGGACCGGGTTGCCTCCAGAGCTCTTGGGGACTGAAGCGCAGAGGAGACCACGGGACAGCTCTCATCCTCTTTCCCGGGGCTGGAGCTGTTCCCTGTGGGCAAATTTGCTTCCCATCACCCACTGCGAAAGTTGCAGCGAGACAGCTGCCCCAGGCCATGCCGCCATCACGTGTGGGTACTCAACCACAGCACGCACCATTTATGGGGCCTGAGCTACACTCGATGGATGGTTCTTCGAATACATAAACATTTTACAGGCCCATATAAGAAAAGAGATTCTGATGAGAGACGAGGCTGATGACTGCCCCAGATAGTGATTGTGAAAATGATGATGATCAAAAGCCCCTACTGGGCATTTCCCCTGTGCCAGCGCTGGGGTGAATGCTATGCTTGGACGCCATTCACTCCTCAATCAGCCCTATGAGGGCTACCCCCAGACTCATCTGACGGCGGATGATGCCCACACAAGGTGAGACGGGGACAGCAGCGGGGCTGGGTTGTGAACCTGTGTTGTCTTAACCACCTGCGCTGCTCTGAGGTCAATGACAAAAATAGCACTACTTAGGGATGATGGCTTCTGACTTACTCGCCACATGCAGGCAGTGATTAGAATCTAGAGTGTGGTGGAGACGGGGCGTGGGGTGACCAGGCTCCCCCACTCTCTGATCTCTCACTCCCTGCAAAGGTGGCTGCTTTGACAAGGGACACTGAGCAAATGGAGGGACGGCGTGGGGCCCAGGAGATGGAGGCACTGGCCTTTGGACCATTCAGCATGGCCCTGTGGCCCACCTCACTTCCCTGCAGCCACCCCTCCTGGCAATTTCCTGGGACCTCACTGCTCTTCAGCAAGCTCACTGCTCTCATCTGAGCATGGTCTGGGTCTCGAACTTCTCTCTGTAAAGCACGGATGGCTCGATGGCGGGCTCTGTGGACTCACACACAGTGTTCCACACTAAGGAAGTGTCTGTCCCCACTCCTTTTTGCCCCTGCCCAGAAAAGCACTGAGTTTCGGTCACTGCCTTTCACTGGCTGCTCACATTCCTAGGAGTGATGGCAAATGGAGGATCTACCTCTCTTGATCTGGATGCAGAGTGCTGGCTGCTGCCATGGCACAGTTTCACATGTCCCAGAAAAGGGCCCCAGGGTCCCCAGTGCCTTGTGCACTTGAGTTTTGATGCTCACATATTCTTCAATAAGGACTCAACGTTTAATTTCACAATTAAGGGGAGGCTAAACATGCAGGATCTCCTGGAGGGATAACAGATTTACATTACAGTGTAAATGATTGACTCAAAGCCTTTGGGGGAGCAGATTGCGATGGGCGTGGTGGGCTGAGGAGAGAGCAGACAGATACTTGATTTAATAACGAGCACATGAGCATCTTAGACTCAGCTCCTTCTTGTTTCAAAATCGGAATCTAAGCCTCCGACATGATCTTGCACTTGAAGCCAAGGTGGGTTACCAGCCCTGCCATTTTCTAGTTGTGTGACTTTGTGAAGAAAGCCATATCACCACTCTGAGCCTCAGCTTGCTCATCTGTAAAACAGGGACTGACGGGTGAGGGTCCAATGACATACCCTGAGTGAAGGTGCTTTGTAAATTCTAAAGCAACAGCAAATGTCACGGGCCAATGTCACTGATCCCAGTAAAAGCTGTCTTACCCTCTACCTGCACCCACCCCCAGTTGTGGCTCCCCAGGCAGGGGCTGTCTGGATCCCACAGTGCTGACTTCATACCTGCTCAGTGGGACTTAGCATGGGACACTATAGCCAGCTCCTTGTCTGTCTCCCTTTAGGCAAGAATCATTGTCCACTCTTGTACCACCAGCACAGGGTCTGGCACAGAACAGCAGCTCCAGAAATGCCGGCTGAACTGAAGTGACTTGGCCACATGCCCACAGCAACTGGGGGCCACAGCCGGGCAGGCAGGCCTTGCCGGCTGGGGTGGGGCGGGTGGGTCAGGCCACACCAAACAAGTGCGGGCCTCAGAGATGGTGTGTCCACACTGAAAACTGTCTGTAACTACCCTCTTGCGTGATACACTGCTAAGGTTATGGAACTCGAGCCTGTATCTCCCTGCCTAGAACATAGAGAGGTATCTAACAGCTGGGTTTCCGGGGAGCACAACGACATAGCAAAATACACATGAACTCGACCTCAGACTGGTTCTCCCTGACTTCCTCCTAGGGCTCAGAGCACACAGATCCTTGAACATGTACTGCATCATTGGACTCGAAAGGCCTCTGAGAGGCACTGTTATCTCCACATTACAGACAGAAAGAAGGCTGGCTTAGGCTGTGAGGGTGCTCAGAGGCCTTGCAAGTCAGATCAGTCCCCTCCACTGGCACCAGGGGCTCAACGACCACTTTCTTCTTTTCAGTATAAGGGAACACCGTTCTCTTCCCTTGGTCTATTAAGTCATGGTTTTCTTTAAAAACATCATCCATTATAATCCCTCCAGAATGTGTTTTTCATTGGAAACATCCCATCATTTCAGTGGTGATGAATGCTCAGAAGTCATGCCATCTAGAAAGAAATGAGATTTCCTCCTCCCCCATTTTAAGGGCCCGCCACCCCCAGAGTGGAATACATAGACGCGGCATTCAGTGGGTGAAAACAATGATCGGCATTGTTTTCTGGAAAGAGCTACTATCCCGGGTGGGAAGGCAGCTGCAGGTCATTTTTCAAACATACCAGAGCGATAGGAGTGCTCTAGGCAGGGATGGGAACATGACTTGTGTCCCTCACACATGACCCTGGTTAGGGTTTTGCTGCTGGCCGAGGTCAGGATGAGGGGTAGGGGCAGGAAGAGAGGGGCCCCATCTTCCCTAGGGGCCTGCCTGCCTCCCCAAGGCTCTGAGTGGCAGGAGGTGCTCAGCCATCCCTGGGCGTCCTCTCCCAGCTAGCACCTGCAGCATGCTCTTGGACTGGCCCGTTCCTCACCTCCCTGGAAACAGTCTCATCTTTCTCAACAGCACCTTGGGGTGAAGTGAGAGGAGACTGCTTGGATGGGGATATCAAAGCTTCCATCTGCTGAAAGATTCACCTTTTGAGCTCCCTCTATTGAGACATAGCGAGGGGAACACCTGCTTAGCCCAGCACGCTGCTGCCGTGGCAGTGTTTGCCTCCCAAGAGCTAGAAACTGGACAAGAAATAGAAACTGGAACAACTGGTTACATGAACAACCTTCCACAGATACAGTGATACATGGAGAGTGTTCCGCCTTCTCTCTGCTTTCCTTTTGGGCAATTTGTCTGCTGCCTTCAAATGCCAGCACATGACGAGGTTTGGTGGCTCGTTACAGGAAGGAAGCCCTGGGTGACTGGTTTAAAAATGCAGTGGAACCCATGGGTGCAACCGTGGCGCCATCTGCAAGCTGGACAGCAAAGATGACACATAAACCATACGGCAAACCCACACAGTTCAAATCAGACAAAAACACTGGGGAAGCCTCATCCCGTGGAATCTAATTAGAAAGGTCTGGTCTCCAGGGACTGAGGACATGGGCTCCCCACCACCACCCTGGGGAAATGTATTCTTCCCACTTCTCCAGAGAAGGCAGACAGGGAAAAATGGGCAAGTTTCTCTACCTGGGGGAAGGGTACTGAGGGGCAGGTGGTGTGGGGGGTGCCCAGCCCCCAACTCTCCCAGGTGATGGCAGCAGGAGGGAGGGTGGTGAGGTCGACAGTTGGGGTCGGGGTCTCTTGGTTCATGTCTATGCAGCCCCCACCAGCATGCTCCTGGTACACCACACACACACACACACACACACACATACACACACACACACACACGGTGCCAACTCCAGTTTAATGTCCCTGCGGGCCCTCTCTGCTTGCTAAAACCAACCTTCCCCCAGCTCAGCCTCAGGCTCAGGCTCTGGCTCTGGCTGGGGACCCTTGCTAAGCCCTCTTCATAACAGCCTGGTGCACACAATCGGATGCCATCCGATGCCAGCTCCAGACAGTGGCTGATACAGTTTGGGTGTCTGTGCCCTCCAAGTCTCATGCTGAAATGTGTCCCCCAGTGTTGGGGTGGGGCCTGGTGGGAGGTGTTTGGGTCACGGGCGTGGGTCCCTCAGGAATGGCTTGCTGTCCTTCCCATGGTCATAAGCGAGTTCTCGCTCTGTTAGTTCACCAAGAGCTGGTTGTTAAAAAAAAGTCTGGGGCCTCCACCCTCTCTCTCTCACGCTCCCTCTTTCACCATGTGACATGCCAGCTCCACCTTCTGCTGCAAGTAAAAGCCTCCTGAGGCCTCCCCAGAAGCAGATGCCAGCACTGTGCTTCCTATACAGTCTGCGGAACCATAAGTCAAATAAACCTCTTTATCAATGATCTAGTCTCAGGCATTCCTTTACAGCAATGCAAAGTAGATTAATACCGCAACCAAGATGTCACGGAGGCCCTCACATCCCACAAATCCCTCTTGTTCTTACTGCAGTGACAGCTTGTCAATGGGCTATGGCAAAAGTGGGCACAGTGACTCCAACCCCTCAGTCTTCTGAAAGCCTGGAAGTGTTATTCACAGCATGGCTGGTGAAGAGAGGACGGCCAGGCAAAAGGCTTCATCTTACCTGACAGGCATTCCCGGAAGGCTGAAGGTCCTGTCTGGGGAAACTTGCAGTGTCCTTGGCCAGGGAGGGACCCCAAACAGCAGACGAGGGAAGGCTCATGGGCTGAGTGAGCCACGCGATGCATGAGCACCAGGTCCCGGGCAGGACTGCTGAGTGTTATTCCTGTCCATCCTTTGGTTGTTTTGTGGCTCCTCGTACCAGGAAGGTCAAGGTACTTAAGAAAGCAAAAGTGTCCAGCTAGTCCTCAGAACCAGAATGGTCATGCTGAGGAGAGCCAAGCCCTGCAGCCCAAGAACCATCGACAAGATGCCCCTCAGCTTAAAGGCGCCATCATGGTTCCTACCCAATCCCTTCTTGCTTGGTTTCCACCAAACAGCCTGAACACTGAACTGGGTCCAGGAGCTTGGACTCTGCCGGGGTGTGGGCGAGGCAGGTAACTGCTCTGAGCCTCCATTCCCTCTTCTGTGCAGCAGGGGTGACAACCTTGGCTAGAGGGGACCAGTGACATGAGGCACAGGGGTACCCCACAAAAAGGAAAGTAGTGCTAGGCACTCCAGTCCCAGATGGGCAGGTGTGGCCCAGGCCTAGAACTGACCACTTCTTGCCTCCGCTTCTGCCCCGGACCCCTGTGGGCACAGGCGCCAACAATAGTGCAGGCTGCATTTAGGGCGTGGTTACTAGGACCCTTCCAATTCCCTGATGACAATGACAGCTTTATTCCAGTACACATCTGAACACTTAGTGTCCAATGTTATTCTGCCTGTTACTGTGTTAGGCAGGTCCGCTTCTACATCTTCTGGACTCTCTATAACCATGTAGGTATAAAATAATCATCAGTTCTTCAGATGATCCTGCACATTTGCCAACATGCTACTTATGGATCAGAACCTAGTCTTTTGATAGCTCACCTATATGTCTCTGGGCTAGGATCAGTGATCTTTTTCAAGCTAGGTCTGGATGTGCTTGGATAGAGAATTTCTCAGTGTTGTCTATAAAAGGCTAGAAGCCCTACTGATAAGACAAGGTTAAGTCAGATCGGAATGGGTTATAACTCTGGGGATTGTGCCCCAAAACCCTGTGACCTTTGGGTGGCGGATTTTGGGCAATGAAATGAAATGGATTTAGTTGTCAAAGTGCTTAGACACATATATTAACATTCTGAAACCTCTAAGCATCTCTGAGAAACAGGCAGGGCCAGTGTTTATGATTCCCATTTCAGAGATAAAGAGACCAAGGGGTCAGAGAGGTTAAGGCACGTAAGTGGAGAGTCGGAGCTGTCATTCAGTCCCTTAATGTCTCTATTGCATGAGTTCAAGTCCTCATGGCTGGAAGGCCTTCCTTCCTTCCTTCCTTCCTCCCTCCCTCCCTCTCTCCCTCCCTTCCTTCCTTCCCTCTCTCTTTCTCTCTTTCTTTCTTTCTTGATGGGGTTTTGCTCTCTTGACTGGGCTGGAGTGCAGTGGTGCAATAATGGCTCACTGTAGCCTTGACTTCCCTGGCTCAAGTGATCCTCCTGCCTCAGCCTCCTAAGTAGCTAAGACTATGGACATGTGCCACCACGCCCGGCTATTTTTTTAATTTTGATTTTTATTTTTGTTTGTTTGTTTATTTATTTATTTTGTAGAGACACAGTCTCCCTATGTTGCCCAGGCTGATCTTGAACTTCTGGGTTCAAGCAATCCTCCTGCCTTGGCCTCCCAAAGTGCTGGGACTACAGGTGTGAGCCACGATGCCCAGCCAAAGCACATGTATCTTTTGTGAGAGCTTTGAAGTTAAGTTTCTCTGCCAGTGTAAGATACATCCTGGCAGCTCCATATTAAGCTTTATTAACATCCAAGTAACTGTGTGGCATCCCTGTTTGGTTTTGGGGAAACTGGACTGACAGCCTCAGTTCTGTTGCCTTGGTCAGATGTTTTGATCAGGGAGTAAATAGGAAGGAGGTGTTTTAGGTCCTTCTCAAATTCACTGTTATCCAGAATAATAGTGCACCTTAGCACTATCAGGCAAACAGGGAATTGGGAAATTTGGCTTTTTTTTTTACTCAAAGAGTTTGGAGAAATTTGTGTTCTGACTTGGGCTGATGGGAAGGTGGTAGCATTTCTGCAGGGATCAGATTCTGATAAGTTTTGCCTTCCAATGGAAAAACCATTTTTCCTTTCGTAAAGCAGAGGCAGAAGCAAAATTACCTGCCTGAGCCATGTTGCCACATTTTCATAGCAAAGCCAAAACCTAAATGTTCAGGTGAAATTTCAGAAATAACACCACACATCTACAACCATCTGATCTCTGATAAACCTGACAAAAACAAGCAATGGGGAAAGAATTCCCTATTTAATAAATGGTGTTGGGAAAACTGGTTAGCCATATGCAGAAAGCTGAAACTGGACCTCTTCCTTACACCTTATACAAAAAATAACTCAAGATGGATTAAAGATTTAAACCTAAGACCTAAAATCATAAAAACCCTGGAAGAAAACTTAGGTAATACCACTCAGGACATAGGCATGGGCAAAGACTTCATGATTAAAACACCAAAAGCAATGACAACAAAAACCAAAATTGACAAATGGGATCTAATTAAACTAAAGAGCTTCTGCACAGCAAAACAAAACTAGCATGAGAGTGAACAGGTAACCTACAGAATGGGAAAAAAAATTTGCAACCTATCCATATAACAAAGGGCTAATATCCAGAATCTACAAAGAATCTTAAACAAATTTACAAGGAAAAAACAAACAACCCCATCAAAAAGTAGGCGAAGGATATGAACAGACACTTCTCAAAAGAAGACATTTATGCAGCCAATAAACATGAAAAAAAAGCTCATCATCACTGGTCATTAGAGAAATGCAAATCAAAACCACAATGAGATATCACCTCATGCCAGTTAGAAAGGTGATCATTATAAAATCAGAAAACAACATGCTGAAGAGGATGTGGAGAAATAGGAACGCTTTTACACTGTTGGTGGGAGTGTACATTAGTTCAACCATTGTGGAAGACAGTGTGATGATTCCTCAAGGATCTAGAACCAGAAATACCATTTGACCCAGCCATCCCTTTACTGGCTGTATACCCAAAGGATTAGAAATCATTCTACTATAAAGACACATGCACATGTATGTTTACTGTGGGACTGTTCACAATAGCAAAGACCTTGGAATCAACCCAAATGCCCATCAATGATAGACTGGGTAAAGAAAATGTGGCTGGCACACATATACCATGGAATACTATGTAGCCACAAAAAAGAATTAGTTCATGTCCATTGCAGGGACATGGATGAAGCTGGAAACCATCATCCTCAGCAAACTAACACAGGAACAGAAAATCAAACACTGCATGTTCTCACTCATAAGTGGGAGTCGAACAATGGGAAAACGTGGACACAGGGAGGGGAACATCACACACCAGGGCCTGTTGGGGGGCGGGGGACTAGGGAAAGGAGAACATTAGGACAAATACCTAATGCATGCGGGACTTAAAACCTAGATGACGGGTTGATGGGTGCAGCAAACCACCATGGCACATGTATACTTATGTAACAAACCTGCACATTCTGCTATGTACCTCAGAACTTAAAGTATAATTAAAAAAACTGTCTAAAGTGAAGATAATGAACATTCAGCTCAAGTAAACGTTTTTTTCACACAAGGAACATATTGGCAGTCAATCATGTGATTAGAATATGCATTAAAATGTTGGCAAAAATGCTAGCCACTAATTCCAACATGTTTAAGATACTGTGTAGGCTGAGCAAAAACCAATGGCTCTAGGTCAGCAGTTTGCAATCTTTGAGTGAAGAGATATCAGGAGAAGCAAGCAGGAGTTTTTCAGTTGCTAAGACCATACAGAAAGACAAACACGGTCTATGCTTACAGGAGGCGTGGTACAGATTTTGTGAAAAGACTCTCAAGAAAACCCACTAGAAGGTTCTTACAGGTGGCAGTGGTGCTCACCTTGGTCCCCAGAAAACAGGAATCATTCAAATGTATCAGATGAATGAAAAAAGAGGGGTTAAACAACAAATCATTTTTTTACTTGGAGAAACATTCAATGGCCCTTTATTCACCCTTGGTCTTGAGAGTGCTGACTCCGCAGCTCTGTGATACCCCTCCCTGCTCCCACCTCAAAGCCCCCTGCCCTGTCTGTCCCTGCATCTCCAGGCCCTTGCCCAGGGGTCCTGGGAGTGAATGGAAGTGATGTTTGCCCCAAGTGTCCCCATGGCAGGAGGCTGGGGCCTGCCGGCCCACTGCACAGCATGGCAAGCCTGGCATCCAGGGCACGGGCGTCCTGCCTTGGGCTGCGTTTGGGTTCCTTCTGCATGCATGTGAAGCAGTGGGGTTCTCCCAGTGAGCCCCAAGGGGCAGTGCTGGTGTGGCCTGTGGGAGAAGCAGGGGAGGAAGCACACGGGGTCTTGGGTAGTGGCAGCAGGTGGAAGGAAAGTGAATGTGCCTAGTTACCGATTGCCGTGTGGAATTGGGACCCATCACAAGAGCTGAGCTCCCGACCCTCGAGCCCCCTGCACTGGGGCACAGAGAGAAATGCCAGCAGGCTGCTCTCACCGTAGACCAGTCCCCGGTTTTCCACTCATAGCAGCCTGAGTAGTCCTCGCAGGCCTCCTCGGCTCTCGGCCTGGTGGAGGCATCGCATTTCCCTTGTGAGTTGGTGCACGCCACAGTCCGTTTCCGCACCCCTTTTCCACAGTTGGCAGAACACTGCAAGACACCATTCGAATATTTAATCCAGTTCCAATTTGATTCAAGTCCATCAGCAGCTATTAACTCCCTCCGAGGTGCCAGGTGTGGGATGATGCAAAGACGAAAACCCACACTTCTGTCCTCAAAAAGCTCATGGTCTACAGGGTCTTATGCACATGGTCCCAGCTGGGGCCCCAGCCAAGTGACCAGTGTTGGGGAAGGGACCCAGGAATCAGGAGTGGGAAGAACCTGGGGTACTCATAAGGTCACATGAGGGGAGTGGAATTCAGTGGCCACTTGTCAGGTCCAAAAGCTTAAGGCAATACATGAGCTCAAAGGGCAGGTGTGTGATGGACCCATGAGTGCTGCAGGGAACAGGGCCCAGCTGGAGCCAGGTGAGGCCCTGAAGCTGAGTCCCAGGCCCCAGATCTTCCCAGATGGCCTCCAGGTGCACGTGCTTTGCTTGGGCCAGTCTGGGACAAAGACCTCGCTCCAGCCGGGAGATAGAGGAGGCAGAAGGAAGGAAAAGCCGCAGGTGACTTTCTCGTGAGGCAGGTGGAAAGCCTTCGCAAAGAGCTCCAGTGAATGTTTTAACGCAGACACCAAGAATGGTGACAGAGGCATGTGGTAGTTTACTTACTTGCGGGAGACCTGGCAAGGGGCAGTGGGGAGGGGACCTGGGCAGGGCCTGTGGGTGACGAATGATGTGCACGCCCTCCAGAGTTCAGGATTCCCAGCAGCAAGAAGGTGTGAAGAGACAGAGGGCGTGACAGGGTGTCAGCACAGCAGATGGGTGCTCTGGGGTGCATCTGGAGCCTGTTCCTGACACGCCCACCACAGATCTTGGGGAGGGACGGTGCCTGGGCTGGCAAGAACACTTACCATCTCCAAAAGCAAAGCAGAAGGAAGCCCAGGCAGAGCTGACCCATAGCCTCAGGAGGACAAAACTCACAAACAAGTTGGCCCTGGGAGCCCTGTCCCTGACACAGGCGTAAACACATAACTTGGAAAGATGGTGTGCAGAAGGCTGGATTCTGCTAAGGCGGTTTCATACTTGCTCACTTTACCAAAAATATGGCAGGCTACAGCAGTGACTTTCTTGAGTTATAACAAACTCAACTTTAAAAAGTTCTAGGCCAAATTCAGTAGTTCACACTCATAATCCCAGCACTTTGGGAGGCTGAGGTGGGAGGCTCACTTGAGGCCAGGAGTTCAAGACCAGCCTGGGCAACATAGAGACCCCCATCTCTAAAGAAAAGAAAGAGAAATCCCACTGTGTCCACTGGAAAAAAGGTACATAAAGGACAACTGTTAATCTTGATATTTGTTATTAACATTTATCCCAAAATATGATCTAGCTTTTTGCTTTTTTTTTTTTTGAGATGGAGTCTCACTCTGTCACTCAGGCTGGAGTGCAGTGGCACAATCTTGGCTCACTGCAAGCTCCGCCTCCTGGGTTCAAGCGATTCTCTTGCCTCAGCCTCCTGAGTAGCTGGGACTACAGGCGCATGCCACCACACCTGGCTAATTTTTGTATTTTTAGTAGAGATGGGATTTCACCATGTTGGCCAGGATGGTCTCGAACTCCTGACCTCATGATCCACCCGCCTTGGCCTCCCAAAGTGCTGGGATTACAGGTGTGAGCCACCATGCCCAGCCTCTCTTTCTTATGAATTCAACTAAGCTCTTTGTCTAAAGATCCTATGAGGTTTTCTTTCAAGGCTAATTTAGGCTGGTTTGAAATACACATGCTTCAGAACTGGCTGCAATGTCCCCTTCAGGGAGTGGAGAGAGTCGCTGTGTGTGGAGTGTGGAGCTGGTTTAAAGGGTCCTCGGATGCCAGGGGTCAGTCCACAGTGGGCTTTGCATGCAGGAGCAGGGGCAGGAGCCCCGGGGCACTGCACTGGAGGGCTACCCCCTGCTTCTCTGCGTGGCAAGGTTTCCTGACCATTTTAGAAACTCTGTCCTCACTGTCTGACTTGTGGGCTACCCCTGGCACCAGCACCCACACAACTTGCTCCTCTGCAACCAGGAGCCCATGCACCATTTCTGCCTAAGTTCACTGTTGCCTGGTCTTTACTTTGCATTCCTCGCCTCTTCCCCTTGAATTTCAAGCTCTGAACATCCAGCCTATTTCTTAATCAAACCCTTACCCTTAACCAAACTCTGACCAGCAACCTATTCTCTTTCTGAAGCCTTTGTCTGAGCGGTGCTGCAGGCTGCTGAGGACAGCTCCAGCTCCAAAGGGGCCTAGGAGGGTGCCCTGCAGTCTCTCTGCTTTCCATCACGGGAGGGGCCTGCAAGCTGAGGACAGGAGAAACTCACTACCTTTTCCTTCCCTCTGGATATTTGATCCTTCTTCTAATAAAGTCGGGAAGAAGCTGGGGGTAGGTAGTGAGAGCAATCAACACAGCTGGTTGGATAAAAGTGACCACATCCACAAAAACTCTCCCTCAAGGAACTGAAACCCATTTGCTTCCAGCGGAAGACAGACTCACTTTGGGACTTCAGTACTTGGGAAGCAGCAGAAGTACCAGCTTCGCGAGCTTCCCGTGGGGAATGATTTGATTCCAAGTTAAATGTTCAGAAGAAAGCGTTTTGCTCAAGCCTGGGCTAAGCCAGAGTTAGGCTGACTGGTGTGGTGCTCGTTCGGGATTAGGATTAGGTGTGCACATAGATACAGGCACAGAGAAATTTATTTAAATCTTGCTCCCACTGTCTCACATTTTCCAAATGCAGAGATCTTCAGTGCTGTAATGATAATTGATGATGTCAGGCTTGTTGGGGAGGCATTTTTTTCCTCCATAAAAAGAGTCTGAGTGGAATTTTTTTTTTTGAGACAGAGTTTCATTCTTGTTGCCCAGGCTGGAGTGCAATGGAGCAATCTTGGCTCACTGCAACCTCTGCCTCCCGGGTTCAAGTGATTCTCCTGCCTCAACCTCCCAAGTAGGTGGGATTACAGGAGTGCACCACCATGCTTGGCTACTTTTTTGTATTTAGTAGAGACAGGGTTTCACCACTGAGTGGAAAATTTATAGTTTTGATCTGATCAAAGCACAAATCTTACTTGGATCAAGAGCTAGGCAATTAAAACCCAAAGGCTCACCTAGGGTACTGGAAAGGGTAGGGGGCTGAATACCTGCCTCAACTCTGCCAGCAAGCGGCCTAAAAAAATCCCTCTAATGTTAAACTGACAAATGTCAGCATATATAAAGAAAAAAAAAACAATCAAACAACAAAATCTCAAACTCTCTTCCTTTCCTAAAATATCATAAAATGTAGGATAAAGATTCAGATCTATAAACAAATACATGCCACAATCTGTTTGAAAATTAACCTTTGTTTTAGAGCAGTCAATGGCAGAGTTTTCCCTCATTAAAAATGGGCTGAATACTTTTTTATTCAAAATAATTCCAACTGTTTGGCAATAGAGGGAACTTTAAAAATATTTTCCACACTAAAGAGTGTCTTGGATGAGCCTCTCTGAGTTTCCTAGACTACTGTGGTGGAAGACCTGAGGGAAGCCTGCCCTTTATTCAGCTTTTTTTTTTTTTTTTTTAGTTTTATAGCCAAACAGTCAAAATCATTAATGCAAAGTCAATGCAAAGCCCTGAAGGATAACATCACCAAAGATAAAATCGTACTCCCAGGACCAACCTTCAAAGTTAAGACTTAAGGCTTAATCCACTTCTTTCCAAAACATTTTATGGCATGAGATTTGTAACTCCAACTTGCACACTAAAAGCTGTCCCTCCTGGCATCTGACTCTTGTAATCTACAAAGACTGCTGGGGGATTAAAGGAAAACCTTTGAAACCACCTTCCCAGCCTGAGCACACCACAGTTAAATACACTCAAAGGAGAATTAAAAAGTCGGTCAGTATCTGTCTGTCCTATCTTGATGTGGGAATTTTCATAGGAAATGGGATCAAAGAGTCCTTCACTGTGGTGTCAACATGTACATCATGAGAGACATGGTATCTGTGTTTTTGTAGCCACGCTGTTATCTGAGATGGAAATTAAGAACACATGAGCTATAACACAACTTCGAGCTGACCTGGGGGCGAGCGAGGGCTGGGAGGCACCAGAATGTCACCAACACCGTGGCACCGTGTTGGAGTCCCTGTGGCTGAGTCCTGGCGGCAAGCCCAGGCACCCACCTGTGACCACTCAGATGCCTCCCAGATGGACAGGCAGTCCTGGCCTTCACAGCTCTGCACTGCCGCCGGCCGGGGACCCGGGCAGTAGAGGGGCCGCGTAGCGATGTGTGTGCCGTTCTGCAGCTGGTACACGCAGGTCACCTCCCGGTGCTGGAAGCCTTTCTCACAGGTTGCCGAGCAGGGGCTCCACGGACCTGCTACCCACCTACCAGACAGGAGGAAAGAGAGAGAGAATGACTCGGGTGAGAGGCCAGCCTCTCCGGAAGGCCTTCCAGCCGGATCCTGGAATTGCTGCCCTGTGGTGGGAGAGAGGGAGGCAGACTCAGGAAGCTTTTCAGTCAACCTTGGACATAATTGAGAGTATCGGCACAGAGGGAGTGACTTGAGTGGTCCTCTGGTTGGATGGTCTCCTCGGCACAGACATCTTTCTGCAATCAACACCCCTACGGCAGACGGAATTATCTGGTCACGGCCTCCATCTAGGGAATTACATATCTGCCTGTTGTCACAGGACCTGCTTCTTTTGACAGGGTGTGAGTGAACAGGATGCTGGCCGTGTCCCGGCAGAAGCTCTGAACGTGGTTATGCAGTTTGGCTCTGATTCTCTTTGCTTCTTACCCTCTGCTGGGAGAACAGTCCCAGTACAGGGAATGCCCCTACAGACAGCCTGTACCACTACCACCTGCACTTCTGTCAGTGACCGAGATGTTGGAGTTGTTTGTCACTGCGGCAATAGGGGATTGATACAGCCATTGACAAAGAACCCCCCACCCCACACCAGTCCCAGCTTGATTAACCGGAACTAGGCCCTCCCTGCTTTCCAGAGCCTCCAGGGATGGCTGTGATGCTTGAGAGTGGCAAGTTGTGGGCTGTGGGAAGACAGAGGCTGTTGAGTTTGGCATCTGAAAGTGTTCTTCTAAAACTTCAACTCAGGCCGGGCAGTAGCTCACGCCTGTAATCCAAACATTTTGGAAGGTTGAGGCAGGTGGATCACTTGAGGTCAGGAGTTCGAGACCAGCCTGGCCAACATGGTGAAAACCCATCTCTACTAAAAATACAAAAAATTATCCAGGTGTGGTGGCGCATGCCTGTAATCCCAGCTACTCAGGAGGCTGAGGCAGGAGAATCGCTTGAACCCAGCGGGTGGAGGCTGCAGTGAGCTGAGATCGCACCACTGCACTCCAGCCCGGGTGACAGAGCAAGACTCTGTCCCCCCCAAAAATAAAAACAAAAAATAAAACATGAAACTTCAGCTCCCTGCGCGACAGCCGGATGATCCGACGCAGCAGGCGTCTGTTGGCCTCAGGTCGCCGGAAAGCAGCTGAGCAGCTTGGGAATGATGCTTCCTCAGGACACACATAGGGTTTCCAGTGCCCTCTGGGGAACACTGAGGGATCTCTCCTGCTTGGTTTCTGGATGAGCCAACTGGCTTTGCCCTTTCTTGTCCTGCCTCATAAACTCCTTGCTCCCAAGAGTTCACCACCTGACAAAGCAGCTTGACCTGCGCACCGCCAGGTGTCACGGCCACTCAGTTCCTCCTCATTAGTCAAAAACAGTCCTGAGTCCCGCCCCAAACCAAGTCTGATCATGCCGTGCCAGGCCATCCCACTGTTGAGCAACGTCTACAGCTTTTGCCCACTGGGAGGATCCTTTGAATGGGTACTGGATGGTGCCAGCTGTCTCTCACTTTCCAGTCCCAGCTGAGTGGCTCACTTGACCATCCAGGCGCTGCAGATTTACTGAGGGCCTCCCACGTGCCAGGCACCTTCTAGGTTCTGATGAGTAGGCAGTGAATGAAACAAAGTCCCTGCCCTCTGAAGCTTACATTCTCAGGGGGGCAGACCATATATGCCCAGTGAACCACATATATCACCACAGCATATATAACAAATGTACTAGATGAGATTAGAGACTGTAACACACAGTCACAAGTGCTTTAGAGACAAGTCAAGCAGTGTGAGCAGAACAGGGAGTAGGTGGGGGTGACTGCTATCTTACAGCAGGATGCAGGGAAGGCCTCACTGGGAAGAGGACATCTGAGCAGAGCCTGGGAGGAAGTGAGCCCTGTGGCTACATGGGTAAAGGCTTCCAAGGCAGAGGTCACAGGGGTGCAAAGGCCGTGGTGGAGGGGCACGCTGGTGGGGTGGAGGCGGAGTGAGGGAGGGGAGAGTGAGGGGAAAGGATGGGATTTGGGAGGCAGAAGGGTGAGATTCCTAGGGCCTGGCTGGCCCAGGTGGCTGTTGTTCAAATAAGACGGAGTCCTGCAGGGTTTTGAGAGAGGAGTGACATGTTCCTTTTGGCTCTGAGAGGGCCACTGGCTTGGTATGGATACCAGTTTATAGTGGGCAGAAGAATGGCAAGGCGACCAGAGGAGGCTCCTGCAGCAGTCCCGGTGAGGACGGGGCTGGTTTGAACCAACTGGGGTGGTGCTGGCATCTCTGGTGCTGAGACCTGGGCTCCTCCCCTCCATCCCAAACTGTCCCTCCTTGTTCCAGGGCACCTCTTCTGAAGCTAAGTCCTAATCCCCTTGGCAGACTCATGACTCTGTCCTCAGGCTTCCGGGGCCTAACTCCAGTGAAGTCCTTCTTGGATCCATGGCTCACATGGCAGGGATGGGAGCCACAGTGACTCCCTTGGGGTGCAGTTGTGAGGACAAGTGGCACATTGTCCATAAACTGCTTACAACAGTGTCTGGCACACGGACACCCATGCAAATGTAACTCTTAGCTATCATTGCTGTCACTGTCTCCTCGGTAAGAGATGGAGAACTCCTGCAGGGTGGCCATGAGTCTCATCTCAGCACCCAGCCACTACTCAACACGAAGAGAACTGAGTTAAATTCTACACATTTCTCCTAGTTCATTTCTCCTAGTTCTGGTCTTTGGAGTAACCCAGAGGCCTTCTTAAATATGTGAAGACAGCTCTTTTGTTCCCCTTTAAGTTTTCTCTTCTTTTGGCCAAAAGAGTTTGTGTGGCAGATGTTCAATCCCTCCCATTCATTTTCTACTCAGTCACTACTTTTCTTACAGTGGACAACATGGCCCAGATGTGGCCTGGAAGCAGCAAGAATGAACGTGATGAATAGGGACAATAAGCACACACACACTAAAAAACTAGCCACTATCTCCTTCTTTTTTTTTTGAGGTGGAGTTTTGCTCTTGTCACCCAGCACCCAGGCTGGGGCACAATGGCACAATCTCGGCTCACTGCAACCTCCACCTCCCAGGTTCAAGCGATTCTCCTGCCTCAGCCTCCCGAGTAGTCGGGCTTACAGGCATGCGCCACCACGCCCGGCTAATTTTTGTATTTTTAGTAGAGACGGGTTTCACCATGTTGGTCAGGCTGGTCTCAAACTCCTGACCTCAGATGATCCACCAGCCTTGGCCTCCCAAAGTGCTGGGATTACAGGCATGAGCCACTGTGCCTGGCCCCAACCATACAGCTCCCCCAGAATACATCTTAACACTAACTTTGCCTCTGGTGCCAGAATGGAACATACCTCAGAGACATCTTTAAAATGAATAAAAACCTATGTTTATTTCTCTCATTACTCCTGAGAAACGGTGAAAGCTTTCAGAACACACTGGTTTCTAGAGTCATCACTGTAGAAACATTGACCCCAGGACACAGATCTTATGCCTGCTGGGGGCTATGGTCAAGAAAATAGAAGAACACTAGAAGGTGCTCTTGGAAGGAGATACGGAAAATATTCAGTGGGGCAGACATTTACTGAGCGTCAACCAGGTTCACTAGACTTCTGGGCCTTCATAGGACCCAACGCTCTCCCCAAGATGAGAATGACGATGGCCATGACCCAGGCATGACCATTACCCTTGAACCTAGAATAAGCCACATCTCTCCCAAAGGAAAAAAAATGTCTGTACCTGGGAAGAAGAGGCACAGAATAGGAGATTGGTAGCTGTGATTCTTTGCTTACAATCACAAAATAAACTGGTCCCTTTCCTTTTTGTTTTAAAAAAGGAAACTGGTTGTAGCACAGAGAATTTTGACGGTAGCGAAACTGCTTTGTATGATGCTATAATGGTGGAAACATGTCATAAATTTGTCCAAACCCACAAAATATGCAACACTGAGAATGAAGCCTAAGATGAACCATAGACGTGGATGATAATGATGTAGTGATGTGTCAGGGTAGGTCCATCAGCTGTAACAAATGTAGCATCTGGCGGGGCAGACCATGCGTGCCTGCAGCAGGCAGTATATGAGAAATCTCTCTGTACCTTCCTCTCAATTTTGACGTGAACCTAAAAGTACTCTATAGAATCAAGTCTAGGCCGGGCGCAGTGACTCACACCTGTAATCCCAGCACTTTGGGAGGCCAAGGTGGGTGGATCACCTGAGGTCAGGAGTTCAAGATCAGCCTGGCCAGTATGGTAAAACCCTATCTCTACTAAAATACAAAAGTAGCCCAGCGTGGTGGTGTGCACCTGTGGTCCCAGATACTTGGGAGGCTGAGGCGAGAGAACTGTTTGAACTGGGAGGCAGAGGTTGCAATGAGCGAGAGTCGCACCACTGCACTCCAGCCTGCCAGCCTGAGGAACAGAGTGGAGACTCAGTACCCCCGGCCCCCGCCTCCACCAAAAAAAAAAAAAAGAATCAAGTCTATTAAGATTAAAAAAAAAAGAAAACAAAAAAAAAAAAAAAGAAATTTGAATGTGATTTTCTTTTTTAAAATAGGGACTCTGACTTCATCAACGTTACCCAACTTCATACTATTTCTATATTTTAAGCAGCCAGATTAAACATATTAATCTCCCCATCCTGGGCTTCTTTTTGTCTCTCATGAACTGACTCCCACTGGATCTCCTTTGTCTTGCCCTTTTGCAGTTGACTTTGTGAATAAAGACGTCAGGCTTTAGGGTGAGACCTGTTTGGCGCTATTGTGCTGAATCCAACTGTGAAAACAGCTTTGAGTCTGCTCCCGCCTTTGTATCTGCTGTGCTTCCAGGGTCAAGCCTGAGAAGTGGGGCCCCTATGTCTTGCTCATGGGGATGCCACTTGGCATGCCGTAGGCCACAGGATGCATTGCCATTGCCAGCACGTGACCACGGCAGGTGCTCTAGTGGACGTGGGCGGTGATTCTGGCCAACACACAGGTCACATCCAAGACACACGGAAGGGACAGGGGATGAGTTGGGCAAGGATCAGTAGTCCTGCCCCGGATGTCTCTACATCCCCTGTCCC